ATGCTTCCACCAGCAGAGAGCAGTGTTGGGTCTCAGCAGAGACACAATCCAGCATTCCTGAGATTATCCTGCCTGGTAACAAAGTTTCCCTGCCTCCATCCTACTGCAGAGCCTGAAGCTTTTCCTAGGGTTGTGCAGTCAAGGCGGAGCTGTGGGCCTCCAAGTGAAACGTGACTGCTGCAAGAGCCTGCACAGGTCCACCACAGGTACACCAGTGCCCTGCTCCACACCAGCCCTGCTTGCTACCACTGTCTTGCTGTTCTTAGGATAGTGGCTGCTTACAAAGGCGTCTCTCTGGGCTGCTTTAATTTTATTTGTTTGGGACCGATCCCTTCTTCCCTTCCTCATTTTCCTTAGGTACAGGGTCTCCTACATTGCCTCAGCTTCCCAGAGTCTAACCTGGATGCTTAGGAACTCTTACAAATGAAGTCATGCTGGCTTGCTGGCCAAGGGCCAGTCACACTGCTGCACTTAGCTGCATTGACTGGATCCCATCCACAGACACATGGAGGGAGTGCCCATGGTGTTCATCTTCCCTGTGATGAGCAGCAATGCCCACTGCTACCCAGACTTCCTGGTGCTCAGAAACACAGTTCACTTTTTTTTTTTTCCTAGACAGGGTTTCTCTGTGTAGCCCTGGCTGTCCTGGAACTCACGTTGTAAACCAGGCTGGCCTCGAACTCACAGAGATCCACCTGCCTCTGCCTCGATTACTGGGATTAAAGGTGTGTGCCACCGGGGTTTCTTGATGCCTGGCAAACACTATCAACTGAGTTACTGCATGCCCCCCAAACATTACATGACTTTGGGGGAGGGCAGTGCTGGGAGGGAACACAAGGTTTTGAGTAGATATTTAGTGCACCACTGCTGAGCTTGAGTCCCCAGAGACCGTCTAACCAGCCCCCCCACCCCACCCAACCCACCCCCATCAGTTCTCACTCGGGCAACAATCTCTCCTGAGTTCAGGAAATCCTGTCTCCCTCTCCAAACTAGTGGTGACTACAGGGCCAGGTATAATTACCTGTTTGTGTCAATCACTTGGCGAGAGACCCGTTTTATTTCTCTTTGTTTTTTTTTTCCCCTTTTTCTTTTTGGTTTTTCGAGATAGGGTTTCTCTGTGTAGCTTTGGAGCCTGTCCTAGAACCATGTCTGTCTTTTATGTATCCTAGACTGATTTAAGCTCTCTCTCCTCCTGCCTCTGTCTTCTGAGTAGCTGGCGAGGCAGCCCTGCAGTACCTCCTAGTCTTCTCCTCCTCTCGAAGTGTATTGGAAGGAGAGCTGCTTTTCTTGCTCCTAGGCCTGACTTCGTGCACTGCACAGGACAAGGAACCTACTATGATGCTGGGGTCCCTGCAGTAGGACTCTGTCTTTGGTCTGGGCCTTCAGCATGGGCTTTGAAAATAGTGCAAGCGTGCAGGAGCTGACCACTGCTGCTTCCACTAGTGAAGGCTCAGGAGACACTTGGATAGGACCAGGAGCATGTGCCAGCAACAAGTGGAGAAAAGACATGTGCTCAGAGCATCCTGGTCCGGGAGGCCTTAGAGCAAAACTTGTGAACTCTGACCCCTGGATCGAGGGCGACACGACTAGATCTACTCCCTGACAGCTGTTAATATTAATCTCGAATTTGCTGTACTTCCTTGGTGCTTTATTAGGATTATCTAGGTTGTCGAGCCGCGCC